CAAGGAATTTTGCATCTTTTAATCCATAAAGTCTAGCTCGTCTTCAAGAATGTTTTAACAATTTTTTCAAAGAAACACAATTGCAAAAACAACTAGAAAAAGGAAATATTTGCAACAAAGAAAGAGACATAAGAGTTGAAAAATAAATTCAGAACGGAGAAAACGAATTTTGTGAAAAAAGGGGGAAAGAGGAGATTTTCAAAGAAAAAGCGAAAAAGAGTGACATTGAAAAAGAAATTCAAAAAAAAGATGAGAGTGAAAAAGATGAGTTTGAAAAAGAAATTGTTTGTGCAAAAGAGAGAGAATGTCAAATTTCATTTTGCACTAACAACCTTAACCATTATTCTTCTATTCTTGAATTTTCATTGTTGCAGGATGACGAGAAGTTAACTTCAAGAGACATTTCATACATATTTCCTATCCTAAAGATGATCCAACATCGTCAATGCTTTAATCATGTGTCAAAGAAGGATCCAATGAAGTTTTATATCACCAAGGAATCGATGCCCAGTAAGATCATCAACCATCCTCCATGGTTTGCTATTTCCATTCATTCTATTAATTGTTTTTCATTTTCTAATTTTGGCATATTTTATAGCAAAATAATTCATGTGTGTGGAGTTATCTTACCTACCTATGAGTACAAGTTCCATTTTCATTTGGAGGAAGATTGTCCCAACAAAAACAAGGCCACTCTATAAATATATATTCTGCCCAAAATCAGTCGATTCAAGAGTATGAAGCAAGTATCGTCCACCTACTCAAGAGCCATCATATGGAAGGGCACAAAGATTAAAGGAGATGGTGTAACCTACCTACTTGAAGGAGTTCAAAGGTCAAGACTCTCCACCCACCCTCATGAGGATGCAAAGGAACAAAAAGAATGAGTGAAAAAAACATATACCTATTCTGATGAACAACATGGAAATGAAGTGCACAAGTAAGAAAAACTTAATTCCAAAGAATGATGTTTGTGCAAAACAATAATGAAGACGTTCCCAACTAAAAGGAAGTCGAGATTGTTTCCTTTTGTAGCAAGTTTCGATTTGGGGACAAATCGCATTAAAGAGAGAGGGAATAATGTGATCCTAATCAACCCTAACTTTCATCTTGATCGGATTAAATCATTGAAGTCCACCAAGGCTGATTCAAAGGGAGTTCAACCTTACTTCATCCTATACTCATTTATGCACTATATTTTATCATATGTTTGTATTTACCTATTGGGATATGCTTATCATATGATATCATTCATTACATGCATTTGCATGAGTTTTATTAGTTGCATGACATTCATTGCATTTAATAAGTTTTTTTTCATTTAATCATGCATTGCATTTAAAGTATCTAGTTCATTTAGGGAAGTAGTTCAATTATGCATATTTAGATCATTTAGTAAGCTACTCTATTCATGCATCTAGTTCATTGAATAAAGTTAGTTCATTAATTAAACTAGTTCATTCATCAAACTAGTGCATTTATTAAACTAACTCTTAATTGTTTCATGCATGTTTTCAATTAAAGATTGAATAAAGTTCACCTTTCTGTCTAGGTGCATGAGAGAAGTTGAACGGTTTCAACAGATACAAGAATATCAATCAGAATGTCTTCCAATTCTGGATTTGATACAGATGTTTTTGGGCCCATAAATCAATTGGGGAATTATTCCTCTATCTTTTACCTTTTCAACGCCTTTTGAAACACCTCAATATGAAATCGGGAGCTTGAGATATGATTTACAGAAGATAGTACATGCTGGAATTTTCAATACGGGAATTTTATACAAGGATGATTTGGATGAGTTTGAGCCAAGGAAGAGTCCTTTCATCTTCTACCAAGAGACAAACAATTGATGGCCATCTTAATTCACCAATTCAAGGCAGTAAAGGTTAATTTTATCACCCATTGAAGGCCATTCATGTTCAAGCAAGGTGACATGCAATAACTAGAATTCAAAACTTAGCATTCAAGGCCTTTATCATCTTTTGAAGGCTGGTCATATTCTACAAGGGAACAAGCAATGAAGGCTGATTTTATTTCATTTAACCACCAAAATAAGTGAAAAATCAGAAAAGAATTTGAAGAGATAATCTGATTTGGACATGTAGGATGTCCACATGCATCCTATAACTTCATTTATCCTTTTTTCTTCCATTTGCAAGAAAAGCAAGGCAACCCAAGCGTCACCCCTCCTTTTTGGACGAATTTAAGGCTTGAATTATCTCAACACTATAAATAGGCACCTTCATTGCATTTGCACAAAGAACTTTTTTGCATAATAAACTCTTTCAAAGATTGCCATTCATTTTAGTTCTTGGATTAGAACTCTATCAGTTTCTTGTCAGTCTTGATGCCTTCCTCCATTTCATTTTTTATAACTTTTGTTCCTAGCTCGTCAATAGCTAGTGGGTCACGTTCCATCCTCTATCACTTCGATTCCATCTTTGTATATTGTTGGTTCCTAGCTCCATATAGCTAGCGGGTCACAATCCATACTTTTTATTTTATCATTCATCTCCCACACCATAACATCTTTTACTTTCACCTTACTTCCATTTTTCCACACTATAAATTATTATCACCACTACACTTTCCTCACTTTCCTTCATTTCATTAAACCACAACAACCATCACTCTTCTATCACCTTCAAACCACTTTAACATAACATACAACCTTTCATTTTCAATTTACTTATATCAATTTGTTTCTTGTAAAGTTGTTTGTGTATTTTCAGTCTACAATCAAAGCACTGTGAATTTCTTACTAGAATCACGATTGGGTAACAGAGTATATGACTCAGAACACATAAACGAGATCATATCAGTTAGGGTTGGTTGAATGATTTAAATGTTTTAAGTTAAAGTGGTCTAGGGTTTGTAGGTTAAAATGGTTTAGGGTCAGGTTAAAATTAAAAATATTATTCACAAGAACTAGGCCCGTAAATGAACTGATCGTTCAGCGAGCGGTGGGAAATTCGTTTATGTTCATTTATTTATTAAACGAATGAACATTAGCAAGATTTTATGTTCGTTTAATTAAATGAACGAACACGAACAAATATCTCGTTCGTTCATTTACGTTCGTGAACGTTCGATAATCCATTCGTTTATGTTCATTCATTTATGTCTGTGTATGTTCGTTTATATTCAATCGAATCTCTATACCCATTTAAAATATTAAGACATAATCATTAATATTTTAAAACCCAAAAAAATTTAAACTTAAATCAATTAAAGAAAATATAAATCATACCTATTGAAAACCCAAATAATTTTAACTACGAAGTTGTAGGTAACATTAATGAATAATGAATTTTATGTGGTTATTGTTGTTGTTGTTGTTTACGTTCGTTTATGTTCATTTATTTTGTTTGATTATGTTCATTTGTTATGTTTGTGAAGGTTTTTTTTATGTTTGTTGATTCTCATTTATTGTGCTCATTTATGTTCGTCTACATTCGTTTGTTTTTGTTCGTTTATGTTCATTTACGTTTGTTTATGGTGTTCATTTATGTTCGTTTACATTCGTTCGTTTATATTCTTTCATTTTTGTTTGTTTATCATTTAAATGAATAAACATGAATGATCATGAACAAGCTACATTTCTTAACAAACAAACACGAACAAGAAATTTTGTGTTTGTTCATTTGTTCGGTTAAAGTTAAACGAACGAACATGACATACCCTGTTCATGTTTGTTTGGTTTGTTTACATGACTAAAAAGAAATAAACCCTAAACCAAAAATAATAAACCCTAAACATTAAATTATAAACACAAATTAAACCTTATAAATCATAAATCATTAATCATAAAAATTGTCTCCCTAAAATGTAATCATTGAAACATTAAAATGAAAATATTAATTTATAAACCATATATACCTAAATCGTAGAATATAAACTCTAATGAATATATATATATATATATAACATTAATAATATTTATATAAAATATAAAATAAAATACATACAATAGAAGAAAAATACAAGAAAATAAAATCACATAAATTGAAATATAAAAAAATACAATTATATAAGTAATGGTCAACAGTTAAGTGATGATAAAAGATATGGATATTTTTCCTAATGTGGCCCAGGTTTCTGCAATGTTTACATCTCATAGTTTCTTTTGACGTCTCTCGAATATCAATAGCATAATGAATTCAAGTAGATTTTGGATGACCTGACTCCCTTAATAACAACAAATTTGGTATAATTGTAAGCCATGTTTGAATCTCATTTGGGTCTTTGTCATCACCTATGGGGGAACTCAAATCCATATACCTTGAATACTTGCGAAAGTTGGCATATGAGATTAACATAACTTTCATTGTCCAAATGGAAACGTGAGCAAGCTTATTCGACATGGTGTTAAACATACTTTGATATTTAGATATACCAAAAATTATTTAAAATTTTTAAAGAAATTTTAAGATTATATTTGATTCGGACATTTGAATATAAAATTATTTTTGAGGTAACAAATCGAGTATAAACTAATTTTAAACCCTAGAGTATTGTCCGTTGTTTTGTGACTACTATATATAGGTGTGGAAATATGTACATGTATACACAATCGAACAAGTAATACATTGATGAGTGAGTATCATCTCCATAGGGATTGGAGGAAATTGATAAGTTCAATCAAAGCACTTTACTATGTCACCTAAGTAAAGTTATTGATAGTATGTACAAATGAGAATATTGTGGCAAGATAAAATGGCTGTTGTGGAAATGTAATGATGGTAAAATGGTATCAGGTGGAGATGTTGTGGCAAATTATATTGTGTTGAGTGCAAACAAATGGAAATGTGAAGGAAAAATAAAATGTAAAGGTTAGATTTAATTACTAGGACTTTAAATTCCTCGCACGACAAGCTACTCTGGGAATGAATTATAGGAGTCACTTAGGAAATTCAAGTCTACCTCTCATAATGGTCTTACTTCTATGCCTTATCTTCCCTACAGAGTTTACTAAGGGTGCCCTATGCTATCTCTAGTTAAGTGACTGGACAGACGGAAGATGCCTTGGCAAACCGGTTGGCATAAGCCAATACAGTGATCCTATTGGTCCATATAACATGATATATCTCAGAAATACCTTTTTGCGACAACATTAACATCTAACCCATCGTTCACGCAAACTCCTTTTATTCGATTGAAATCCTATCCTTATCTCTAAGGTGGATTAGGCCTAGTTACTATCTATAACCCCTTGCTTATATGGTTCCTCCCTAGTTTCTCTCGAACACTAAGGATGTACTACCTAGACATTCTCTCGAACACTAAGTAATCTCCTAAGGAATGGCTACTCTCATAGCTCATACAACCTAAAAGCACTAAGCTTCATAAACAAAATAGATAAAACATACACCTAGTTCATGGTGGGGTTCGAATATATCAAGCGCAAAACATGTTAATCCATTCCTTACGACCCAAATGATAAAATATGAAAGCCAAGAGCAAAGGGAAGGAGGAAAAGCCTTCAACGTGCACTTTCAGAGCTTCCCTCGACCACCACAGACAATCAAAGTTATCAAAGGCTCAAGGCACATCGAGGCGCAAAGTGTCCTAGAGCCTTGAGGCACGAGGTGCATGAAAGACGCGGGATTCACGAAGGCGAGGCGTATGATATCCAAAAAATTGTAATACATGTATATATTAATGCAGTCAAACTTAAATATCATAGATACCCAATATTAGGCTTTAATAGAGTTCATTCTCGAACTCAAAATACCAACCTAACGTAATAAAAGCTATCAACAAGCATAATCAAGTACTAAGTTTAACAAAAATATCCAACATGCATAAATAAAACATCAAATAAAGTCACTGATAATCATCATCAAACATCAAACTCATCCTCATCATCATCATCAAGTGGTATGTCATCATCTTCCTCCTCATTCGTCTCACAATCCTCAATGTCTTCTTCTTCAGTGTCACTCTCCTCTAGCATAACATCTTCATCATCTTCATCTACAAAGTGTGGTCTAGCTTTTTCCTTTCCTTTCGAGCTTGAACTAGCAACGTTCTTTCTTCTAGTATTATGGTCACACTCATAAGGTTTAGAAGCTATACCAACATCCCTCCATGTCAAATTGTCATCATCAAACACATAATCTTCATTTTCTTCTTCTTCCTCATCCATTCTACCAAGAAACCATTCGTTACTTTCATCAATGTCATCAAAAGAGATTGGATCAATGACATCACGATGATTATAACGCCTCTTTATCGCTCGATTATATTTCACATAGACTAAATTATTGAGCTGAGTTTGTGCAAGTCAGTTTTTTCTTTTGTTATGAAGCTGCCAAATTATAACAAAATAATCAAGAGTCAAAAACATTACTTATGATGTTTCTTAAATTATATCTTAATTACTTACAAGGCTAAAAATACTCTAATTTCTCTCACAACCACTTGCACTACACGTAAGGCTGAGGACTTTGATGGAAAACTTTTTTAATTTCGGTGCATCATTGCCAAAATAAGCCCACCACTTGGCTGTAAATAAATATTTTAGAACAAGTTTTAGAACAAGAAAAAATTAAATTTGTTTTATATTACTTTAAATATTTATAAAGAAAGTAACCTGATGACTTTGCTTCTCTTTGACGTAAGCATATTATCATCCCAAATATACCTTCGGCGTTCCTATAAAGTGACAATTGGTCCTCTATTTTACCTTGATCAACAACACTCGACACTAATCTCTCAATGCTTTTAAGCAACCCGATCATCACCTCTTTATCCTCTTGAATTTGGGGATTTTAGTAGAATAATTGAGGATTCAAATAACACCCGACCGCATGTAATGGTTGATAGAGTTGACATTCCCACCTTTTGTCAATAATTACAAACACAACTTTGTACTTGTCCTCCACATTATTAAAGGAGTTTTCAATTGCTTCTTTTTCCCTATCTATAGCCTCATATACATAGCCCATGGCCAACCTTTTTTCACCATCAACTAACCTAAGTACTTTTACGAGAGGACCCATCATCTTAAGGATATACACAATTGTACTCCAAAAGGTAGGCATTAAAACAATGGATGCGACTCTTTTACCGCCTTGATCTTTTGAGTATTTACTCTTCCTCCATTCATCAGAAGTAAACATCTTTCTAAGGTTTTCCTTTTGAACTTGTATTGAACGAAGAGTGATGTAAGTAGTGGCAAATCTAGTTATCGTGGGTCTCACCAACTCTCTTTTCCCAGTAAACTTCCTCATCATGTCTACAACACATGTACGACTATATATAACCCGTTTAAGGCCATCATTCTCTTCAATGTGACACGAACTTTCGAATTCTTTCCTATGTCTTCAAGCATCAAATCAAGACAATGAGCAGTACATGGAGTCTAGTATAAATGTGGGCGTTTCGCCATCAATAAACGTCCTATAAAGACATAAAAATTAAAATAGTATCAAGTCTTATATAATTATAAAAATATATACACATATAATAATTTAATATGGACGTTTCATCACCCGCTGCTACATATGCAGAAGCATTGTCGGTTACCACCTTAACGACATTCTTCTCACAACCTCCTCAACCATATCATCAAGAATAATAAACAATTGTTCGACATTCTTCACAATGTCCGAAGCATCAATTGATTTGATAAAAATCGACCCTTTTGGAGAATTAACTAAAAAGTTGATAATGCCTTTGTATGCAACCGAGTCTCTCCATCCATCTGACATGATTGAGCAACCATATTTAGCCCACTGCTCGTGATGTACTTGCTTCACCATCTCATCGGTTGCCTTAACCTCTTTAATCAAAAAAGGAACTCGGATTTCTTGGTACGTGGGAGGTTTGAAACATGTCCCACATTGCGCCACCGCTTCCGTTGCTATTGTAAAACTATCATAATTTGGTGCATCAAACGCCAATCCAACATCAAAGAACCAGTTTGACAACTCCATACATGCTTTCTCCCGTATTTGTTTTTTACATGCTTCATTGATGCTTGGTTGCTTCATTTTCCCATCTTTTCTACTTTTCATAACTTGTTCGGGTGGTGGGGTAAAAAACATATCAATTGGTCCTTTAATTCCCTTTTGCTTATTTGATACTTTACTAGTATTATTACCACTTTTGCGAACACATATACCAACTTCAACAACTTCATCATCCTCGTCATCCCCAAAGTTGTCTACATCATCAAAATCATATACAACTTCTGCTTCTTTTTTATTTTGACATTTTTTCTCCATGTATTCTCGAATCTCCTCGCGTACATGAGCTGGACATTTTAGACATCTTGTATTATTATGGTATCCACCCACTATATGTTGTTTACCCCTATAAATACCTCCAAAAGTGATTTTGTCACGAAACATACATTTTACTTTACCTTTCCCCATGTCAATGCAATACTTCCAAGCTATATCTTGCTTTGAAGAAGTTGATGACTGATTTTCAGAAGTCATAATGTCAAACCAGATTTTCCAAAAGCAAAACATTGATGATTAATAGCTGCAATATTGTCCAGATGCCAGAAAAATGAAAACATAAAAATTAAATAAGAGAAACTGTGATTATCAAGAACAGACATATACGCATGAATAACTGCATACTTAGAAAAAAACAAGAACATACACATACGAATAACTGCATACTTGGAAAAGAAAAAAAACAAGAACAGACACATACGCACGAATTGCGATTATTATCAAGAGAATTTGTTTCAGAAGAACAAAATTCTTTCAACATAGATGGTTAACAGTATAAATCGAAGGATCAATCGAAGAATAGAATCACTTACGGGAATAATTGATTATGTGAATTGATTAATCAAAGTATTGTTGATGTCTTATTCAACGTCGCAGTCACCAGTCGAAGAACATGAGGAAACGACCGATTGATAGGTTAGTATGTATGGATTAGAAGGCTGATTGAAAGTTGATTGAGGGTTTTAGGGGGCCGACCCATAGGAGAGAAGGCACTGCAGTAATAATTACAAGGTTTTAAGCCCATATTGAGCCTGATTTTCTCCTTGACTGAGCCTCGCGCCTCAGAGCCTTATTGCGCCTTGCTATGCCTAGGTGCACCTAGGCTACGTGCCTCGCTTCAGTGTTGAAAAGGCCCCGTTTACTGAGCCTTTGCGCTCTTGCACCTTAGTCGTGCTTTTTATAATTTTACAGACTGTCCCAATAAACTAGCTCCTCCCAGACGCCTATAACGCCACTCCCTCTAGCTTGTCAACAGTGGAATGCCACGGAAAATACGATTGACGGAAAAAGAAGATACATTTTTCTCTTTGAAAATAAGCTCAAACTGGCGTGTGTAAAGCTTTTTTTTCCATTGTGGCTTCATCCTCTATTTATAGGGATTATCCTAGGATTTTGTGTTGAAATTCCTAAGATACCCAAAATCAAGCTTCATTCACGTGAGGGTAGGCAGAGCTTGCAGTGGTCTCCTCGGGAAACTGGCAATGGTCCAGCCTGGATAGCTGGCTGGGTACTCGACAGGATCATGCTGTAGTAGATTAAGGCCTAACAAGATCAGCAACAGCAGGGCGTGGTCTGACAGGATCAGTAGCAGCAGTGCGTGGTCCTCTCTAGGCAAGTGTCTCCTCACGCGTAGAGATCAAGTAAAGATAGGGACAGTTATCTCTAAAAATATCTTATTTCATTTTGTTCGCTCTTGAAATGCCAAATGGTTCTATATTTGCATTCTACTCAGTAGTCTCCTTATCTCATGCCATTTCCCTTTTTCTTTTCCTTGCTTTCAAATCCTACACATCACCAAACAAACACCTTTCCCATAAAGGAGCAATGATTACAAAATAAAATGCAGCGACAAACAAAATTCTAGCATATGCAACTATATGCTCCTAAATGCATCTATATGATTCTAAATGGGCTCTTAGACAATCAATAACTTAAGTGAAAAGGTCACAAATATGATCTTTTACGGAGTTACCATACCCCCAAACTTAAGCTACTGCTTGTCCTCAAGCAATGAATAGTATTAAGCAAAATAAAAATACCATGGTAAGTTTAGAAGCATAATAGTTATATGGTATAAAATTTCAGCCCTCAGAACATTTGGCTTCAATATGCTAGAATATTTTGAGAAATCAAGTAGTGTCCCCTAGGGCAAGATCCTTTGTGTGGGTGTGTGTGTGCTTGTATCCAGTCCATGATTAACAAACTTAAAAATTTTCTAAGCAAGCTTTCTTGTTTTCCCACGACATTTACAAGTTTTACTCCCGCATTGTTTTCTTTTCTTTTCTTAATTCTGGTATTAGGGGAGTCATACCATCACACCTACCATCCCACACTCTTAGGGAAAGGAAGCATACCTTCCACCCTTGAGCTAGTCAGGTAGAGTCATCCCGTGACTACTTTCATTCACTCATATGCCATAGCTTCCATTTATTTATATGCAGTTTCCAGTCAATGCCATGGCATAGCGAAGTGCCCTTCTACATATATGCTGAAGCATTTATTCACAACTTTTTTTACATCGTGGTGTTTTCATCATTCTTTAACAAAGTTTTATGCCACAACATTCAAGAATTCTCTTATAAAAAATTTATAAGTTCCTCAAGCATGGAAAACATACAATCGTGTAATGGTTTCAAAGAAGCAAGTCCTAGAGTTGGTTATTTCATCCTCAACAGTCATATACATTCTATTCTAGCCATCAAAAGTTCATCATCATTGGTCATCCCTAATTCATTCTATTAAAATAATTCTACACTTACTAATGTCATGGCATATTCATTATACTAATACTATCATGCAATGATTTGGGAACCCTACCTACCCCAAACTTGAGACAAGCATTGTCCTCAATGCTAAATAAAAACTACAGTAAAAGTAAACTACATGATATGAAATGCAATGAAATGCAAGGTACCTCGACTTCATGCTTGTGGTGGTACGGTGGTCGTGCGACATGTGCGCTTTCTCAGTTGTGTGGTGTTGGAGTGTTCAGAGTCTGATGCTGGCGCAGCAGGTGGAGTACTGGGGCCTTCTAGGACTGGGGATAGTTAAGGCTCTTTACGCCTAAACACCTTTTTCTTACGGCATCTACTCATTCACAAAGGAATATACTGCATCATTTCAGGTTATTCTTTCTTTCTTGGCTCTACAGGCTACAACATTTCAGATTGTTCCTCCTCCAATGGCTTAAAAAGCTACGGGGGTGTTGATACAGTTGTAAGATAGAGCTCTTCTTCTCGATTCTCAATTGGCGACAGAGTGTGGAATGGATCAGGATCGTTGGTTCCTCCTCATCGGCAGGATGGTGAACCTCTTCATTGGCGGGCTGGTGAGCATCTTCAGATGCTTCAACATTTTTAGATGGTTGCAAGAGCGTGGTAGGGAATACTGGGATACTAAAATTTGTGTACGGGAGAATATCCATGAAAGCATTGGCAAAGAACTCATCTCGGCGGTTGACATATAAAAAGTAGGTCATCATTTTGCCGGTGAGCTATTCGGCATTTGCTTGAGTGCGCTTACTGACCTCTTCTAGGGCATCTGGTTTTGTTCTGGAATTTGGAGTTGCAGCAACACGAGAAGTGTTCTCCTCTTTCTCCTTTCCCTTGGCTTCCTTCAATCTAAGTAACATAGGAATCTTGGCCTTTGTAAGACCAGCCATGTGAGGCAATATCTCATCAAATTGAACCTCAGGCACATTCTTCTTACGGTAGAGAGCCGTAATGAGATTTGGAAATACCAAGGCACTGGAATGTCGCTTCAGACAGGTATGAACTTGTTCCATAATGGTTTTGCCTATGTCAATGGAACACCCTACTAAAACAGAGTGCAACAGAAGCATCCTTTGTAATGAAACGGTGGTGTTGTGGGAAGTAGGGAGAAGCTTGTGCTTTATGAAGTGATTTCACAACTTGGCCCTTGGCTGTAGCCTCTCTCGGTCCACAGTTCTTCAGCTCACTTGGTGGCCATTCCATTGTGTGTTGGAAAGACAAAGGTCTTCCAAAATGTCATGGTAAGTTTCATTGTCTGCCTTTTTCGTGAAAGTCGTATGGTTATCTATAACACCCTGCAAATTAAAATAGTGATTAATAGCAGAAGAAGTAAAGCAAATGGAAATACCACGAACCACCACAGCATGCTGATTTGGCTCAGTGATGTTGGCATAGAATTCATTCACCAGCGATGCGTTCACATTTTCTAGAGGCATGGCAAATTTTTACCGCTTGTTCTGGTGTACAATGTCAGGTAAATCACTGCCAAGGTCGGAATCTTCCTCTTCGGAGAAGATAAAACCCAACTCAAAGAACACCCGGTGGTTTTTAAGGTTTTTAAACCTTTCTTGCGCAGCTTCATCCACGAAACATGATGGAAATGTTGGAGCCGAGCTGGAGGGATGGGATCTCACCATGGTTAGTTGACAAGACAAAGAAAATATGAAAAAGCTTGAAGCTTTTTAGTTATGGCTTTTTGGTGCTAAGGAGGGAAGAAGAAGAAGAGATGGAAACAAAGTGAAAAAGTGAAAAAGATAAGAACAAAGTAAAAACAAATAAGGGGTATTTTATCTTGTTGACACCCATTCCTTTTGCTTCCATTTGTACAATCATCACGTGCTGGCTGTGTGTACCTAATTGTGCAAAGAAAAATAAATTAATTACTTAAAATAAAATGGAATAAAACAATAACAAAGTAAAATATTATTTATGCACATAAGTAAATCTAAAATGTAACAACATCTTCAAGATGCTTGGCAAGTCTCGATATCGTGCAAGAGAAGTGATGATTTGTCACGTATGGGTAAAACTCCTTGATAAGCCTTCAGACGCTGGTCGTTTACTTTAAAATAGATCCATCGTGCACATTCTTGATATCCACAGCGCCATGAGGGTAAACATGCTGTACTTCAAATGGTCATGACCATCGTGACTTCAGTTTTCCAGGGAAGAGTTAAGCCTCGAGTTAAACAAGAGCACCTGCTCGCCAATATAAAAATGTCGTGGTAAAAGCATTCGATCATGTAACTTCTTGTTTTTTTCTTTGTAAAGCTGGGCATTTTCATATGCTTGTGCTCGAAACTCTTCTATTTCATTCAGATCGAGTAACCTTTTCTCCCTATCTAATTGTGCATCGAAGTTCAGCTTCTTGATCCCCCAATATGCTTTATGTTCTAACTCCATAGGTAGGTGACATGCTTTCCCATAAACCATCTTGAAAGGTGACATTCTCAGAGGTGTTTTGAATGTCTTCTGATAAGCTCAGAGCGTTTCGTCCAGTTTTAAGGACCAGTCATTCCTTATAGGGTTCACCATATTCTCTAGGATTTGCTTGATTTCTTGGTTGGACACTTCAGCTTGCCCAATGGTTTGTGGGTGATATGTCGTGGAAATCTTATGTCGCACTCTATATTTTTGTAATGCCTTGGCAATAGCATGTTATCAAAATGAGTGCCATCATCACTGATGATGGCTCTTGGTGCTCCA